AGGGACAATGCAGGAGGGGAAGACCCTCTTTGAGATGGATTGATTCGGTGACTGGGGTAATCGGGATGGGTGTGTCAGAGGCGGTGCGGTTAGCGCAGGATAGAGCAGGGTTTAGGGCTGTTGTGCACAGAGTCGCTATGAGTCGGAAACGACTCGACGGCACATAACAACAACAACAACTAGTAGAGGAGAAATGGACCAAACTGGCAACATTCTATGAAATGATCGCTGTGAAAATGCCACATCTGGCATCTGTCCTTGTAGTTTACTCCACCCAGTGACGCACAAGATATACTTTTCCTAGTGTTAAAACACCACTAACTGTGAAAATACAAATAAAAAAGAATCATAAATAAGCCATTAGCCTCTCCTAACAACTTCTGAATTACTGTGGTGAGTCCTGTGCTCTAGTCAGTAACTTCTTAGTACAACCTGACATGAAATGTCCCCTTTCGGAGCAAGACCCTGTCACCCTTCTTGCCCTAACGCCCTAAGAGAAGATAAAACCTAAGTGTCTTCAATTAGTTAATTGCTCCATTTGAGGGATGCTTCAAAACAATCCTAAAGAATGAGGCTTCCAACAGAAGCCTATGAATAGTCACTATGACAGACAAAGATACCATATCATTTCGGTTTTCTCTACTACTAACTCAGGGAGCTCTGGAGGTCCAGTGGTAAGAAATTGCACTGCAATCCCAAAGGCCCCCAGGTGGAATCCGCTAGCTGTTCTGCGGGAGAAGGACAGGCAATCAATCTCTTTCTGTGTTATTAACAGCCTCTGAAAACCCACTGAAGAGTCAGCTATGGGTTGGTTCCAACTAGATGGTATTCAGTAACAGTAACCCCCAATTCACTCAATCATGTTTGAGATTCACGTATCTCCCTCTTTAGCTGGCCCCCTAATTATCCTTTTATTTCTCCCTCTCCCTCATCAGCCATTGTTCTTTCTCTCCCCCATCAACCATCAAGCTGAGTCCAACTCAGATTAACCCTCCACCAGGTTTCCCGTGCTCTAAAGCTTAAGAGGAGAAGACTGTCCATGGTCCTCCTTCAGAGATGCTGGGCGGATTTGAACTGCCAGAGACATGCAGCTTTTTAGTTAGCAGCTCAACACGCAACAGATGATGCCATGAGAGCTCCTTCACCTACCTCCAGCTCCAACTTATTTTCCTGTGCAAAAGGGCCAGAGAAACGTGTGCATTTTTATCACAGCCAGAACTGAACACACCAATTGCTATGTCAGCACTGGTACAATTTACCACATCTCTCAGGGCTGTGGGATTTAGTCATAAAATTTCCAATTGCTGGTGTGTTTTGCTCTGAGAAGTGGCCATTTCTCATGCCATTTTATGATCCAGTCCATAAATAAATAATGTCACATTATTTCATGTAATGAAGCCTAAGACGTTCTAGTCAGTGGCCCATTTTTCAAACCCTGTAAACACTGGCTTGACTCACAGCACTGCCAGTTTTCTAAAGCCATTGCCTAGAGACATCAGAGAATTGACAGCACACATGTCACGTCACATGCCACAGGTATCTATCTCCCTCTGCCCACTGAGCGTTACGACTTGGCCACTCCACAGCCCTAAAACCGTGACTCAGCAAAGAAGACTCCAGAGCAGTTCTGTGTGGAGTTTCTGCAAAGACGGCCAGACTGGAGAGGTGCCAAGCCAGAAGTGTTCCTGTCTTGAAGAACCTCCAGCCACAACTGAATGCATCCCCTGAATTGTCTGGCTTTTGTTATTTTTAAGCCCAGCCCTCCACATTACTTTAATGTGGGGGTTACTTGAAAACATAATTGCTAGGAATAACCACCGTAGTACACTGTTGTCAAAAACCAGGCGATCCGCCACTTTTCTCAGCCAGTGCACCAAGCTTCATAATGTACACTGTGCACACAGACATCCAAACTGAGAGAAGGACCCTGGGGAGCAGGACAAGATCCCTAAGTATGAACCACCTGCTGAGAAATACCTATTTAAATGCAATAGCAAATATAATTTGTCATTGTTGCTCCCAGCAGAAAAATGGGACTGAATGTACTAGTTATATATTGCTGGATCACAGTATATACCCCAAACCAATGTGGGCACAGCTCACACACACTTATCTTTACACCCCTCTTTCCCTTTCCCTCCCTCCCTCATCTGACATGCACACTAAATGAATGAATAAAAGAACTTTCTGCCATTCAGTTGAACCAATTCATAGCTGACCCTCCAGCAGGTCTTTACAGGCTATAAATCACACGCATGGGAGGAAACTGCCCATCTTTCTCCTGAAAACAGCTGGTGGATTGGAACTGTGTGCCTTAGCTTCGACAGCACAACTCCTTACCCATTAGTCTATCAGAGCGCACAAGTGCACACGCTTACACACACTTCTGTGGATTATTCTTAGGAAACTCCAGTTTTAGGAAAACTGTACTGTATCTCTTTATTGACCACAGGATGTAATCTAAACAAAGCATCTGGTCTACTTCAGAAACCAGACAAGGGAAGGAGCTGATAACTCCATTAAGATTAACAGATTAAAAAAATAAAAAAAAAAAGATTAACAGATCAAGGTTAACAGGTCACTCCATCAAGATGACCCACCTATTGGATTACTACTTAAGAAAAGGGCCAATCAAGCTCCACTGGGTAGCAACCAGATTAAACAACCCAGAGGGATGTTTAAAAAACAAAACAAAACAAAACAAAACAAAAGCCAAACAACACAGCTCAAAGTCACCGGACCAACTCTTCAAAGCTGACCTTCCAGCAGGTTTTCCGGGGCAAGAAATTGCACAAAGGAGGCTGCCCATCGTTCTCCCACAGAGGGGCTGGTGGATTTGAACCACCAGACCAGAACATCAGCTGCTAGATTAGTCAACCAAGATGAACAAACTAAATTGTCCACCATGTAACAGAAAAAAAAAAACCAATCAAAAGCAACCAACCCAATGACTCAGTAGTTAACAGAAATTAATCAAGTGAAATCTGATAATATCAAACTCTGCTTCATTGAAGAGCGTGGAAATAAATTTCTAAGCAATCAACAAGGGAGAAAGTCTTAGTAACACAATCACACGCCATACCACCTGGTAGTGAGCACTGCACTGGCCACCCTGGAGGCCTGGAAATGGTGCCACGGCTGTACTTACGAAGGTTATTTATGGGGGTCCTCGTGTCCATGTTTTCATAATGCTGGACGTGGACAACAATATTAAGGTCTCTTTCCATGTGGTCAGTACTGCAGTGGCCCTGGGGCCTCATGACATCTGCAAGGGCCCTGAAAGAAGAAAGATTTTAAGTCTGTTTAATCAAAACACAGTGTCTGGCATGCACTAGACACCCCAGAGTTCCTGTGTGGTGCAAAAGGCTAATGTTAAACAAACGACAAAAAAGCTCACCCAGAGGAAATCTTAGAAGAATGAGGTGTAGCAATCTACTTTCCTCTAAAAAAAAAAAAAAATAAAAATAAAAAAAAAAAAACCAACACAAACTAGCCATTGGGAAAACTCTATTCCCTGGGTGGCACAAATGGTTAAGCACCAGACAACTAACTGAAAGTTCTGAAAGTTCAGTGGTTCAAACCCAAAGACTGCTTCTACAAGTTTCCAGCTTTAAAAATCCAACAGAGTGTAGCTATGCTTTGTACCAGGGGTCACCAGGAGTCAAACGAGATGTCAAATAATAATAACAACAGGCAGAGAGTGTTGTGTTTGTGAATAAAAGCCATGAAGCGGCCATTCTGGTTAGAGGTGGCTGGAAGCAATGAAGAGGACAACTAGAACTGATCCAGGAGCTTCACATAGAAAGGTGCACATACCTCTTACAACAGCCCTGTATCAGCGCTGACAGCCACTGGGAATCCAATGAGGAATGGAATGCAGGTAACATATCTACACTGCTATTGTTGTTAGGAACCAAGTCAGAACTGACTCACAGCTGACCCTCCAGTGGGTTTTAAAAGGCAGTAAAGTGCCTGGGAGGCGATTGCCCATCTTTCTCCGGCAGAGCAACTGGTGGATTTGAACCATAGGCCTTAGGGCTGGTAGCTCATTAAGCCACCAGAGCTCCCAATGTGTTTACCTAGTGCTGGTTTATTTGAGAAACCTGATCACTTCCATTGCCCTCTGTCAGAGCTAGCTGCGGACACCACCACTCCATGTACTCCAGCAGCCTCACGTGAGCAACAGCACCCAGCACCAACCATTTAGATAAGCCAGGCCCGATGCTGACACTGCGAAGGGTTTAATTCAAGAAAGGAGCACCAAACGGCCTGATGTGACTCGACAGAGGAGACACCCAAAGCTCCAGGAGGCGCACTGGCCTGTCCAAGGTCATACAGCCAGGAGGCAATAGCAACAGGGGACCAGAGTCCAGTCTGGCCGCCCTGCACCCTCGGCACAGACCACCATCCATCCACGACCCTGCTGACACCCCTTTACTGTCTGTGATGGAGGAAAAGTGAAGGAGGCCAGGTACTGGCTCTGTCTCCAACTCTCTTCACCTGTCAACATACGTCATGCCTTCCCAAGGATCACCATCCAGTGTTTGACTGGGGAGCTCTAGTGTCTTAGTGAAGAGACATCCTGCTAATCAAGCATGGGGCTTCACATCCCCCAGGGGCTTGCTCCCCAGGACACAGACAGGCGATCTCCTCCCATGAAACTTAGAGCTTCTGAAAACACACTAAAGGGTCAGCTCTGAGGCAGTTCTGACTAGACAGCAACAAGGTTTTCGCTCTTACTGGGTTTTCTGCTTATTTGTTCCAAGGGTCATGACTTCTGTTGGTCACAGAAGTCTCTAGATTATGTTGTTGTTATGTGCCGTCAAGTCACTTGTGACTCATAGCAACCCTATGTACAATGGCCCTAAACCCTGCTCTATCCTGTGCCAATCGCACTGCCTCTGACACATCCATCCCGATTACCGCAGTCACTGAATCAATCCACCTCATAGAGGGTCTTCCCCTCCTGCGCTGCCCCTCCACCCTCCCAAGCATGATGTCCTTCTCCAAGGACCTGTTCCTCCTTACAACATGTCCAAAGTATGTCAGACAAAGCCCCAGAATCCTTGCCTCCAAGGAGCAGCCTGGTTTAACCCTCTCCAGGATGAATCTGTTTTCTTGGCAGTCCATGGTACATTCAACACTATTCTCAACCACAACTCAAAGGCATCAATTCTCCTTCTATCCTCCCTAATCATTGTCCAACTCTCTGGTGCATAACAAGTGATTGCAAAGGCCATAGCCTGTATCAGACGCACTTTAGTCTCCAGAGTGACACCAATGATCTTCAGTACCCTGGAGAGGTCCCTAACAGCAGACTTTCCCATCGCAATAAGGTTTTTTATTTCCTGGCTACTGGTGCTGAGAGTGTTGACCGTGAAGCCAAGCAAACTAAAGTTGTCAACAATCTCAATCTCTTCACCATCCATCCTGATGCTGTCAATTGGTCCAGTGGTTATATTTTTACAAATAATGAAACAAGGTGAGAACTCTTAAGTGACTCTCACTGAGATATCTACCAGGGAGGGAAGGGCATAACATGATCAAGGGGTGGTCACACCCAAGTTGGACCGCACCAACAGTATTTCTCTTTGCCCACCCTTCAAGATTCATTTATTTAGACATGCATTAATTAGTAAGGAGTCCCGGTGGTGCTGTGTTTTATGTGTTGGGCTGCTCACCAGCAGGTCAATGGTTCAAATCCACCAGCTGCTCTGAGAATGAAAGAAGAACAGTTTCTTCCCAGAAAAATTTACAGCCTCTGAAATCCAATGGAGGGTCATAAGGATTTGGAACAGCAGTAAGGTTTTATTTTGTTTTCTGTACTACTTGGGGCTCTGGTGGCCTAATGGGTAAGGAGTTGCACTCTGCTAACCCAAAAGCAGGTGGTTCGAATCCACCAGTTGCTGCATGGAAGTAAGGTAATTGCTTTCCACAAGAGCCTCTAAAGACTCAGTGGAGTCAGTTATGAGTTGAAAGCAGTGAGTGAGTGCACGACTTACTACACGGGAAGCTCTGGAGGTATAACAATAGGAGTTGTGATGATAAAGATTACAAAGGCAATTCTCTAGCAGTTCAAATCCACCAGCAGATGCACAGGAGAAAGATGGACAATCACGTCTTTTGCAATTTACAGCCTCAGAAACCCAAGGGAGGGGAAACTATGGGTCAGTTCAGACTCAACAGTCCACTGTTGTTGTTTTATCATAACTGCAGTAGCAGGACACAAAGGAAAAAGCATAACCTCAGTAAATGAATATGCTGTGAGGTGAAATGAGGCAAATGTGGAGGCAGCGTTAGAGCAGAGGCCTGAGTGATGAAGCAGGGCTAGTGAGGCAAAGTCCCATGTGAGCAGGAGGGGGTGTGCAAACACAACAGCGCCACGGTGGGGCTGAGCTTGGCACACCTGAGGAGCAAAGAGGAAACGGAGTATCACTTCCTCACCAATAAATTTATTCTTACATAATAAATACAATTCAAAACAATCCCCAAACCAACCAGCTGTGACTCCCAGTGCCATGGTTAATACTGTGTGCCAACGTATTCTCCATATAAACTAACTGTTGATGTTGATTGCCATCGAGTCGAGCACAACTCATAGCGACCCTATGAACAAAAAACCTGAAGCCTTTCTATAACTATCATCATTTATCAAAGTTCATAGAGTTTCCAGAAACACGTTGTTTAGGAAGTGGATGTCACTCCTGCTTCCAAATACCGCCTTATAAATTCTAAGACGGTAATAATGCAAGGTTACAAGTGGATTTGTAAAGATATGATTAGCCTCATCTGAGGTTTCAGGGTTGTGGCCAGCATGGCATTTAAGTTTAGACTCTGTGGCAAAAAAGCTACAGAGCATTCTATCAGATCAGTATTTGGCTACCTGGATCCGGGTCTCCACACCTGAACCAGTGACCTGCTCTGTCCTTGCTCACTCTGGATTCATCATTCCTCAGAGTCAATCTATGACCCTGATTCCCATTACTTATCTTTGTCAAGCTCTGAAGCAACAGCTTCCCAAGCCAGTAGCCTGAGGCCCTGCCTCCCCAGACACCTCATCTGGAGTTCTGACCTACCGACTACTAACATACATGTATGTATGAACCACTGAGCCATTTCCCTGAAATAAATTAATCTCTGTATCTCTCTTCTATCTATATTTGTTGCTGTTATGTACTACTGTGTTGGGACCAACTTATAGCTGACCCTCCAAAAGGTTTCCAGAGGCTGTAAATCAGGAAGGAATTGTCCATCTTTCTCCTGTGGAACAGCTGGTGGATTTAAACTGCCTGCTTTTGGTTGGCAACACAACTTCTTACCACTGGGTCACCAGACTGAGCTCGCTCAGCACTCCCTCGCTCTCTCTCATTATATGTAAGAGTGGAAGTGTGAGTGTGAGAGCATGTGAGTATGTGTGTAGTTATATACCAGTATGACTGATTTTTGTTTCTCTAGAAAACCCAGCCTAAGACACGCCAACCTCATGTGTGTCTGAGTGTCTCTGTGGTCGACATAGAGTTTTCAATAGCTAATTTTGGGGAAGCATATTGCCAGCCCTTTCTTCCAAGGCATCTTGAATGGTCTTGAACTTTCAACTTTCCAGTCTACAGGAAAGCATATGATCATGTACACCACCTAGAAGCCCTGGTGTAACAGTGTAAAACATGCCAGGCTGCCAATCAGAAGATCAAAGGTGCAAATCCACCAGCTGCTCTAAAAGGGAAAGATAGGCAATCTCCTACGACAAGGATTTACAGCCTCAGAAATTCAATGAAGGGTTCTTAAGACTCAGAACAAATGCAACAGCAGTTCATTTAGGACTCCAAATAAATAAGAACCCAATATTTCAGAACGGAGCTGAGAGTCCCAGGATCTTGATTCAACTCTGCAGGTATGAGGTCTGGCTTCTGCTCCGAATGCAAAGACAATATTACGTTGTTGCTGTTGTTATGTGCCCACGTGCTGGAACTGACCCATAGCTGACACTCGAGGTTTTCAGAAGCTGTAAAGCACACAGGAGGAGATGGCACATCTTTCTTGGAGAAGCTGGAGGATTCAGAACCACATACATTCGGGTTGGCAGTGCAAATACTTTATCTATTAACCCACCAGTTGTTGTTGAGTACCATGGAATCAGAACTGGTCCACAGCTGACCCTCCAGAGGCTTTTCAGAGGCAGGAAATCACACAGGAGGAGATCACCCATTTTTTTTCCTGCCCAGCAGCTGATGGGCTTAAACTGTATACCTTTGGGTTGGCAGTGCACTTACTTACCA